GTTTTGATGTGTGTAGGTCTGTTAATATACACCTCTAACAATTACAAACAACATTTTGATCACCTCGTTATTCTAACTTTAGAAATACTTTAGAAAAGCTATACGTAGAAATTCGTTGAGTCTTGCAACTCCAGGTTTCAAACGAGAGAAAGGAGTTGTTAAAATGCGTGACAATAATCCCAAGTGAAATGAATGTAAAATAGGTGATAAATTTGCTAAGAACTTTTAACTATGGAATATGTTTTTTAAATGTTTTTTTCTGTGCCTGTTAGCTATTTAAAATGTGTTTTGTATATTAATGCTTAAATTTTGCCTCAATTATTGCATACACTTCACAAAACACTCACGTTCATAATCACGTTCAATATAAATTATAGAAATTTTAGCATTTTATATTCTTGAATCCAAGTTTTATTCAGGCAATATATCTGCACTTGACACAATTAGACATGCTTTCCTCGATCAAGTTCATACATTATCAAGTGATTTCATGAAGAATTAAAAATTATAGATGGAGATGAAGAAAATTGATTTGAAATCACATTTCACATATCTGAAGCAAGGGATTGAACCAAAGAAAATGAGGATTTTTCTGATCATAAAGATTAAGAGATTTATGCACAAACTCTTATTCCATGTTAACCTAAAAAGGTGACGTTAGAAATATCACATTTAAAAAATTTATCATCTGAAGTCCTCAACTTTGTGGAAGTTGTTATAGGGGCCATCGTTACGTTTTGATCAATGTAAAGGTTAGAAAAAGATCATGTGATACATCTGCCACATCGGGCGACTATCAATTGCTTTCTGAGTATATGAGCAGACTTTGATAATTGTCAGCCTTCTCATTTTTGTTAGTCTCATGTCAGGAACTCATCGTTGACTGTAACCTGAAGTACAGTAACAGATGGAGTTCGTCAGCAAGAAATACATTATATATTGGCGCTATTACTGTCTGCTGTATTGACCTGCATTCACCTTTCATGGTCTTACTAACACGTTCCTTGAGGAATGTGGCGGCCTCCGCTCCACCATGGCCACTACTCGTGGCTTCCACATACACCGTATCCAGATGATGAAGGACCTTAATCACAAACTGCAAGAAACAGAGCGACCGAGAGGAACGTTACGACTAGTGCAGAACAACGTTGGTGACATGGCAGAACACAATTTAAAATGTAAAAGCAGCCCCGGCATAGGCTCAAGGACATGAAGCGCAATTTCAAGTCACGCTTTGGCCTTTGACAACTGAGAGGGATCAGTCCCTGTACACCGAGTAATCAAGCAGTTGTGGGCGCCGAGCCACAGCTCCGAATGCCATGATTTTGAGCACATTGTTGTGCACACGATTTTTGATTTAGTTCGTGATTTATTTGATTCTTCATGCTTGAAATATTTTCGAAATCTGCTTTGCTGGCAACGTCGTGCAGGTCTGCAGAAACGGCAGCATACCTGTTTCTGGTGGCGAGATTGGCGATGCGGTGAGGTTTGAACTGGTGACCAACCTGCTATCAATTGAGCCGGTGATTTCTGTTTGCACGTTCATTCATTATGACTTTGCGAATTCAACAAAATCAGTGGGTCCGCCAGGAACAACTGGAAAGTCTAAAGAAGAAAATGGGGTGAAGATTCCAGAAAGGTTTATAATTTCGACTATAGCACTGACAGACTGATCACTTCAATACATTGGACGAAGTCAGCCATCAACATGCATTGCTCTTCTTACTACAGCTGTTCATCCACACTGATTTGACTCTGGGCAAATGCACGCAGCTGAGAAAATGGAAAGTGGGACATCCGCTTCTTAGGACAGGGTCGTGTCTCTTGTCGGGCCTGCAAAATGTAGCGGAACACGACATCGAAAGCCACTGCACGTAAAAGTCGTGAAGTTGGTGCTGGCAATTGCACAGGAATCTCGATTGGAACAGGGAAAAGGAGCATATCCAGACAAAACAAAATATGTTTTGGCGATAACAAGAAATTAACCACAGGACATGGCAAATAGCCAGATCATGCTGTTTCTGTCCTCTTCTCTACCAAGCGATAAGCAAGCAAGAGTGTTGTTAGCAAGATCAAAATTCTATAATGATTTCATGTTTATGGTATAAAGACCTCCAACAGACTTTATTCAAAAACGATGCTCGTATTACTTTTGGTTATTAACTTTGTTAAGTCAATGAAGTTTTTAAACACTGAATTTATACTCATTTAGGACACTCTTTGACTTTTTTACTAACTTGAAGCCCTAGGTTTGCCACCCGGTGATTGATTCATCCGTCATATATCTAAATTTGACATTTTCCATTTGTGGTGATAGTCACAATACAATTGCTACCAATCTGTTCGACTCTATGTGACTTTACATGATTTGTAGCAAGAATAATTTTGCAGTTGGAGTTTCTCGTGTGATTCATTGACTCCATTTTACCCCATGCAGAGTAATAAGAAATTATGGTTAGATTGCAGCAATCTTGAGCGTTCAATGGATGAGGCTATTGCTTTTGTCAGGGACATGATCAACTAAATTGTCGTTTGCACAGTTGTAAATAGTATCATAAACGAGAACAATGATGGACTTAACCATGTTAAATTTTCTTCTCAATTGGATGATGAGATTAATCTTGACGAAGCACTATTATCTAGCATTTAGCATTAGAATTATTTCTGAAGTCATGTATACCGCACAGTTTCCCTTGATTTGCAAGCAACTTCAAAAAAATGTTACTTGAGAGGTTTGACGTTGAGTTCAGCAAGTATCATGCTGGTTCTATAACTTCTATAAAACGCGATAAACAAGCAAGAGTGCTCGTAGCATGGACGAAATTCGATATCAATTTCATGTTTGAGGTGTAGAGGACTCGAGACTCTAGAAACTAGAACTGTGCATGAGCTCACATGCTTGACAGTTGAGCTAGAAGAAAAATCATATCAGCAATCCAGAACCTCGATTGTGCTTCTACTCTGTTCAAAGTTATTCGAGATTATGATTAGTAAACTTCCAGATAGCTTACCAGTTTGTTCCGAACCTACAAGTTATGTAAAGTTATATAGACTACTGTACCGATATTTAAAGAAAAGAGAAAGCACAAGAGGCATTGTCAACCAGGCCTACAGCGCATGTGCCACTGAGTTGTCAGAATCATCCACTTTCTTGCATAGATTAAAGTAGAAGATGAACTTTGGCATGTTCGTTGTCAGGTGACGACATGGAGTGTATCATCACACTGATGCATTCAGTGTATCCTGTTGGTTGCACAACAAAGTCAAGATCTACTTGACTTTCTAACACCATTGTCCAATCGCAGAGTAGGGAGGAGCAGGCTTTTTGAGATAGAATAGTGTCGCTCCCTTGATCCTCACACTTTTCAATGACGAGATCCGATTGAAGACGGTGCATGCTCTTTCCTCACTTTTAGATATGAATGTGATTTTAATCAAATAAATAATGTGAAATACAAATAACCTAACGTTATTTGTTTGACAATCAAATAAACCATCATCACCACTAACAATAATGACTTTGCTTGCAAAAGTTTCTTGAAAGATTGCTCTCAATGTTTAGAAACAACAAATAATTCAAACAAAAATATCAATTTCACTTTTAATGTTTGTATCATTTGAGTTCTAAAACATCATGATTTTTCTTTCGAAATGAATTTCGACTAAAATATTAATTACCATGTAGTTTACATCCAGAAATATTTTTTTACAAAAAAAATTATTAATTATATATATATATATATATAAGTTTGATTGAGAACTTATTTTTTATGTCCATAGATATTATCCTAATCCAAATTTTCATTGTTTACACTAAATATAAGATAAAAATATGAAATAAAACTTAAAACATAGGTATATTTCTTTTCAAGAATTGTTCATATTTTTCAATTTTCTTTTCAACATTTTAATCAATTATAGATCAAAATACTTAAGCACAAAACGTTTAGTGAACAAAATGTATATGATGAAATTTAAGCTATCATACAAAATTTGAATATATAAATGATATACTAATTGCAAGCATCTTTATTGATGTGTTTTTCAAAAAAAAAAACCTTCACACTATGCAACTTCAAATTTCTGAGTCAATAATTTGAATTTGAAAGATTATTTTGTCTTTTAAATAAAACTTTCTGCAATGCAATCAGAAATGTACTATTCGGATTTATACTGAAAAATGCTCTCATTCTCACTCACATCCCTAAATCCAAAATCTTCATGTATAAAAAAAAGAAAAAAATATAAATTCTCTAATATTTATTTGAAAATTTATATTTTATTATTTTATTTAAATTAATAAAAAATTATTTTAATTATAATAATATAATTTAAATGCACGAAAATATTGAAATGTATGATTAACTATCTAAAAAAGCAATATTTGGCAACATATCATTCATTCACAAAATCAACATATTTAGCTTATTCATATTTGCATTGTTTTACAATTAGAAAATTGGATCCATTGCAGGAGGGATACGTTGAAATCGTGAAGGCCATGCTTAAAGTGACCAGGCTGTCATCTTAGCAGCACGAATTCATCATGCGATCTCTGTATTCACAGTCATTCATTTTGGCTTTGCAAACTCACCAAAAAAAAAGACCTCCAAACTTCTGCATGCATTCACATACTTGACACAGCTGGGGTAGAAGAACAATCGTACCAGCAGTTGATAACCTCGAGTACTGGTATCCTCTGTACACAGTTCTTCTATACCATAGTTAGTAAAATCCCAAAAAGCTTGTCAGTTTTTTCTGATACTAAAAGTTATTTACAATTATCTACACAACTGTTCTGGGTCAAAAGTAAGAAAAAACGTAACATGCTTATTACAGCTGACTACTCATGTGCCACTCAGCTGTCAGAATAGGTCCACTTGCTCGAACTGATCGAACATGCCACATAAATGGATTAATAAAGAAGAAAGTTGTAATGGAAGTTGTCAACGTGACGTCATCGAGAATATCATCACACTGACGCATTCACCCACGTTTCCTCCCCCACGTTTCCTCTCCGCTTGCGCAACAAAGTCAAGATCTACTCTGACCTTCTAACACCATGTTTCAATCACAGAGTATGAAAGAACACGATTTTTGTGTTCAAATGTTGTCATTGCCTTGATCGCTCACACGATTCAATGAGAAGATCTGATTGAAGAGGATGCATACTTTTTCCCCGTGCTAGCCATCGTAGTGTCTGTCTTCCCGTTGGTCTTGATGCAGCTAGATTCGCAGCCTCCCAGTACAACTGTAGATTCAGTTTTTCCACAACCCAGAGTTCGTCACATCTGAGAAATCTATGACATTTTGCTTTCCCATCGCGCCATCTTTGCTGAGAACTTGATTTCAGGTACTTTTGCAGAGCTATAATCTTGTCCACTCACTTCGATCACTAGTGCACATCGAACCCTGATAGACGTGAAGTCTTTTTTGCCACACGGGTCTACGATTTAGCTTGGTACTAGAATCCTGGTCTTCTCTGTCAATTTTGATTCCCATTTCTTGTCCTCCTGCTTCCACTTTGTACAATCTCCCTGCATTCGTGGTGATTGCTCATGATCCGCGTATCGGCAGATCTCAGAGTGATATTTTTGTTGCTACTTGTGCGCAGTGCAAGAGAATTTATGCCCAGCAGGCTCACGCAGACGAATTGTGACACTACGAAGGGAAGATCAGTTTTCTTCGGGAGAGCCGGGCTTTCGGATTGAAGAGAGGGCCTCCTGTACGCGCTGAAGGAGAGAGCAGGAGAGAAAGGAAGGGGCAGGTGCGTCCATCGTCAGTCACGCTCCTGAACGGGAAATGGACTCCGCACACGAGGAACCGGAGCTTCCCTCCGCCATCCAGGACCTTCTACAGCGACTGGAAGGACAACGCGAGCCTTTAACGGAGCTTCCCAATTTAAGCTGGCGCGCTCCGGAGTTCTTTCCGGAGCGTGCATCACTTTCGACAATCACAGGGTGGCGAAGCCAAGTGCGCCATCGAGTGCTGGAGGCAATCGGCAACTGCAACACCTTTGAGAGTCTGAACGTGGGAGACATTTGTGGGAGGTTGACGGCAAGCGAGAGGGAGATCGTTTTCAGAGGTTTCAGGTCTAGCCCCGATCTACAACGGATATACGTTTGTGAGTTAGAGGCTTCAGATGATGCGGAAATGGAGAGCGTGTGTTTAGAGCTGGGGAGAATTCTGAATTCTTCTAGCGTTACAATTTTAAAAGTGTACAGGTGCAGATTGAGTGCCAGATGTTGGTCGAATCTCGCCTCAGGACTGCGAGGACATTCCGATTCTAAACTCCAGTCTTTGATTGTATGGGACGCGTGGGAGGACGAGAGTGCGGTGAAGCATGTGGCTGAGATGATCAACAGTGCTCCTCTATTAGAAACGTTGAGTTTAAAGAAATGGAAGGAGTGGGAGGACATGGAGGACGAGACCGTTGGAATCCTGTCCCAGACGTTGATCCAGAGCTCGTCGTTGAGAGATTTGGGCCTAGGAGGCGCGGGGAAGTGGGGAGGGCCCTTGTTGCTGAAAGCATTGGCCGGAGACGACCGCAACCGATCCATTGAACGTCTTGACTTGTCGCGTATGGATGGACTCGGAGACTGTTTAAGGGAATTACTTATTTCCAACCCATCATTCAAGGAAGTGAAGCTGTACAAGGTGAAGATGAGTCCTGAGGAATGGCACCAGCTCGGCGAAGTCATACGTGACAATGCTATAGCGATAACTATACATTTTTTGTGTCGATCTTATGATGACGTGAAGTCAATAGAAGCTCTTGCTCGTTCTGCTAGCTCCGATGTCAATGACGCCACACTGAAGCTTGACATATATATTTGGGAGAAGGAGGAAGATAAGGTGAAGGGTAAGGAAGATAAACTGAAGTTGTCATTAAACCTATTAGGTAGGGTGCTGCGCGGTGAAATCAAATCTCTCAAATCTCTGGTTATACGGCAGAGTGATAAACCAATTATCACTTTCAGTATCCTCCCGATGAATGGGAAAACTGGAGAAACCTCAGTCCCGAAGAGGCTGAAATTATCTGTTCGAAGTGAAGATCTTTCGAAGGGAGTATGGGAGGAGCTGCTTCGGTGCATGCGAGGGAACCACCTCACTCACTTGGATTTGTGTTCCTCCAAACTCGACGAGGAGGCGTTCAGGGACGTGATGGGAGTACTGCAAGTGAACTTGGCTCTCCAGGAAATCGACGTCTCACGAACATCGTGGGTAACGGACGGAAAGGCAGCGCTGATTCAAGACGCCCTGCAGCAGAACAAGGAGCGGGCCGTCTACATGTCCGTGTTCCGGGAAGCGAACTTAACATTCGGAGATGCAAAAGCTGGCCGACTCTTCTTATGCGGCTCTCCTCGAGCAGGTAAGATGCGCTGTAAATTCTCAGTTTTTTCCTGAATGTACGCCAACTAGCAATCTATGGTTTAACTTTTCTAAAACTAAGATTGGCACTACAAATGTTATTTTGATCTATATATAATGATGCGTTTATACAAATTGTAACGGAAAGAAAAAAAAAGATCAAATGTGTAAATCATTAATTATGTAACTTCAATCATTTTGGTGAGTTCTACTTTTTTCAGTCGAATTTATTTTCACATATTAAAATAATATCATGTCATATTGTATCTCAAGAATATCAATTCAAAGCATTTCTGAAGATATTGGTAATAACAAGTTGTGGATTTTGTGATGTGATGTCCAGGAAAAACTCAACTGCGTAAAACCTTGATGAGGATAAATCATAGCTGGCTACACAGAAGCAGTCCATTCATGAAATGGGAGGCATTGTGGAGGACCAAAGGGATTGAAGTGGAGTTTTTGCAAAATAATGACAAAATGCAAATTTCAGTTTGGGATCTTGCAGGACAATGGATTTTCCGTACCCTTCAAACTGTACTCTTCCCTCAAACCAACAATTTTTGTGTTTTTCTTTTTGTGTATAGCCCTTTCTGTGAAGAAACATCTTCAATCAAACCTGAATCTTGTTTCAAAACGGAGTTGGAGGAGTGGTTGAGTTTTATAACATCTAGCACTAAGGTCACAGGACGTGATCTTCCCCAAGTTATTGTTGTGATTTCTCACAAGGATAAAGCCATATCCAGCTCTTTGAGTTGGGCTCATCCCATAGTGGAAGAATTGACTAAAAGATTCGCAAACTTTGTGGATCTTCGTCCTATTCAAGAGTGTTTTCATGTGGATGCTCGGAAGAAGAAACAAGTTAGTTCTCTTAACAAACACATTTTTGAGAATTTCCACAATGTGTTGAGAGAGAAATCCCCACAAGTTCCCGAATTGTGTTTACATCTCACCTCTCTCTTGGTTACAAACACCAAGAAGAACAAAAGTTTTCCTTTGTGGCCATCCGAAAAGTTTTATGATTTTTGTGTTTCCGATTTGAAAAAGTTCATTCCATCATCTTCTGCTCACTCTGTTGAACATTCAAGGATAATGCAATCTATCATATCCTACTTGAATGATGTTGGATCCATCATTTACATCCCCAACCTTGATTACATCATTGTCGATCCCAACTGGCTCACTAATACCTTCTTGGGTGAGCTGATAACTCTGGGTCAAAACTTTCAAGCTCAAAAGCCAGAGTCTTCTTATAGTATGAGCTCATACGCAAGCAAGGACGGATTTGTGAGCGAGATTGTCTTTGCTGGACTGATAGAGAAGTTTCTGGGAAAGCAACCACGCTTTCAACATGTGGATAGAAAGGTGCTTGAAAACATTCTCATCAATTTAGATTTGTGTTTCAAGCTGGAAGATAATTCTGAGTATTTCATTCCTTCCTTCATCCCTGAGCATGCAAGCAAGGAGGAACAGAATCATGGAGAAGGGGCCCACGCGAAGTCAATGGATTGGGAAAATAGAGGTGACACTCCACAGTTTGTCGGCATACGGATTCAATGCAAAGATGAAAGAACAATGTTACTGACGGCTGCTTTTTTTCCACGCTTCCAGGTGAGCTTCAATCATGATTTCATAAATACAATGAAAACATTGTTTGTGTCAAGTTTTGATTGTAATTTGCAAAAAATGAATATAATGCTCCTTTTTTTTAATTGTAACACATTATTCAAATGTTTAACTCAATATTTACCAAGTATTCTATGATTGTAGATGTTCATGAGACGCAAGTTGATATCCGAGATGGGTGTTTCCGGGAAGAATGTGACCTGCTCTCGAAATTATCTGCGACTTTTCCATGACGGACATCAGATATATATCGAGCACGTTCAGAGTGAAAAGTCCCACAAATACGTAGATGTTCTGATGTTATGCTCGAGTCAGAAGTCAAAGGAGGCGGCTATTACATACGTGAGAAAGCATATCGTCCAAGAGTTGATATCATTTTGCGCGTCACCAAAAGGCTGTCCAGGGGTGGCGTTAGTGCTCAGTGTGATCCAAACATTTTGTGTGGAGAGGCTGATTCCAAGTCATCTCAGAGGAGCCATCTTGATCGAGACGTTGAAATCGGATTTCATTCGTAACATCAATGACAAACTTGAGGAAATGCCCTTGGAAAGATTGCACTTGATGGAGAAGGAAGAGTTGTTGCACTTGTTGGAAAAGGAAGAGTTGTTCCACTATGAGCAGTGTTGGCCTCGGATTAAAAGGTACACCGGCGGAACATCCGAACTAGCAAGGGATTTGTTGTGGAAGAGCGATGTGGATGCAGTTGTGAATGAGATTTGTCAGAATCAAAGTCTACAATTGGAGTCATTGCAGGAAGCTATAGATAGTGTGGACAATGATTTGGCTCAGTGTTATCCTGGAGCTGAAAACATGGTTAGCGACTCGAATCTTCCACAAATGAATGATCTCAAACCACCCACATCCAAGTGCTTGAGTCCGGCCAGCACAAGTGTGGAGAATCCTTCGACCCAACTTATTGTGTCCAAGATTGAGAAGCTAGAAGAAAAGATGGAACAAAAGCTTGATGGTTTGGATGAGAGGTTAAGATCAATGCAGAGCTCAATGGGACAGATACTCTCTGTGCAACAAGAACTGCAGTCAAAGTTGAGTGTCTTCATGTCTAAGGTGGACAGGAGCATTGGCTATTCGCAAGAGATTCAGCAGCAGAAAACGCCTAAACGACCCTATGTTACGGATGATGTGGGACATTTCTATAGGTTGAGTGCAGGTCTGCATGTCGCGAAAATTGTTCGACTTCACTTGATGTGTGAGTCGATGACTGGGTTTCACACTGTCAAAGATCAAGAAGGGTTGAAGTTAAGATTGGATTTGGAGAAGTGGGAGTGGATTCGGAGAACTATTGAAATTTCGTACAAAGTCATATATTATGGTGCAAAGGCTGCACTGACTAAGTTCTGCGGGTTGGGCGAAGCGATTCCGGCCTGGGCAGATTTGGAATCGGATATTGTTAAACTGGACGGTATCAGCAATGAAGATCGCAGGGCAGTTCTAACAGGTGGGGATAGCAAGGAGCTGCAAGAAGCATGGTTGAGGATTCAGCAAATTCTTGCGCCTGAGCTTGAAAATCGCTATTCCAAAATCTTCAAGTTGTATTTGGTGAGCTTAAAAAAAGGTGGCCATGCATGGGTGTGCGAGAAGTGCATGAAAAAAGGCCATGATTGTGGAATTTTGACATGTTAGTATTTAGAAGAGGTTAGAATGCCACTATGCAATTGACAAGCATATGTTTAGACCCTCATGCAATATACAACTCTGGAAATTCTTCCTTGCAGTTTTCACAAGAAAAAGTCTTCTATAATTTTTGCCATCATGTCAATCGCACAGTTATGTTTTTGAAGAAGATCATTGTTAGGCTAAACTATGAAGATGACTTTTCGAGGGTAGAGTGTTCATATTGTCTCGTTGCAAGCCTCACTATGATGAAAAGCCTTCCGTTGACAAGTGAGGGTGGTCATGTTGAGCTTCCACACATATTCCTGACTGATTCTTATGTACCACGATGAAGGTCCAACAAATGTATGATGGACCGGAACTAAAAATTAAGATGTGTTATCATTTTCAAGTAGTATCCGTGTTTAAACAAGAGAGCAATATAGTCTGAAGAGAATGCTATTCCAATAATTCATGCACAATATCCGATCTGTGAAGCTCAGAAATTCGCAGCTCATGTGAATCTGCTTCTGGCGCTTCTTTGTATGATCAGAAGATTTCACAAGATTTCCTAGTAGGCCCAACTCCGGTTCGAATGCATCTTACCGGTAGAACAAAACCTGTGCACAAATTTCTCTCCTATGATATATTGTTGAGGTGTTATCAGAGTTTTTCGTTCCCTATTCTTCGCGCGACATCGTGATATCATGCTTTTTCCATAGCGGGGTTCTCAGAGCATTTTAAATCGCCAGCACGCTCAGAACTGTCACGTGTATAAATGTGGTACTTCCGAAGCACGAATGATCCTGCAATTGGACTGCGTGTGGACGTTGGATTAAAGAGAATCTTTACGTTGAGAATAAATTTTCAAAGGATGCACGACCTCGTTTGCTGAATATAATGGTGAATGTGATTATGGTTGCAAGTCCTTGACTAGGATATTTAGTCTGATTGATTGAAACAATCATGGGCGTTAAGTGGACTGGGCTATCTCTCTTTCAGGAAGAACATCACCTACAAATGTTGTTTACGCAGTTGTAAATAGTCTTCTGAGAGCAAAGACAAGAAAAATCATGGTGATTGCGATGAATTGAACGGAGAAGTATATCACGGATCGATTTAGATGCGGTTACACCAGAGAAAATTATACATCTCTGAATAGTCCATATAGTCCAGAAAGCTGCCTTCCAAATCCTCCTCATCATCGTTAATCAAGTTGAGCTAGACTCACAGCTTAGACTTAGGGGGTGTACAATTAGTTTGCCAAACCAGATCTGGGATGTCTGCATGCTCCTACGTCACGTCATGCAGTGTTCACGATGTGCAGATAGAAAATTTTGTCAAGGTTTGTAAAAGCAAGGCAAGAGAGTTACATCGGTAGTAAATGCTCTTGCATCTGATCGTTGAGGCTGTGCAGTGAATAATTCGATGTCTCACAAGGAAAAGCGAAGCTCCCAGACAGAGCATGAAAAGACATTTGCAGCAGGATATGAGAGTTTTACAGCTGCCACAAGTCTTCCATTGTCAGCGTGCTTTTAGTATTCTCAGGTCTTCAGTCACATGGGTCCTGACACGGCCTTGAATTTGTCCTGAGAAACTGCGCAAAAATGACCAGAGATTTGCAAAACACACAAAGACTGAAGAGGTACAGCCTCTCCGTGATATTGATGGAATTGTGCATCGGAAATCGCTGCCACCGCTGTTTCTCAAAAGCAGCAATCTTACGACATCATGGTGTCTCTGGTTTCAGAAAGGGCAATCAATCACTATCAAGGGAGCTCTTCCAGCAGGACCGAGAGGAATCGTCAATCACAAATCAGTGACGGGTATGCACAATGAGGGCCTTCTGTTACACAAAAGCCACCGATTTCTTCCATTTCCATTCGCCGCGACTTGATGGAGGATCGATCATTCAACTCTACGCGATAAACGCGAAGCAGATCTGATGGTGATTGAACCCCTCGCACACTCGCACACCACTCACTCATAGGTGGCGCCAGAAGCCGTCCAGGAATCTTCCACTCGCAGCCCATCTGCGGGGACTGGGCTGCTTCTCGACCATCCCTTGGTGCGTGAGTTCGTCAGGTGAAGCCTGTAATCTACATTATTTTGGCATTATAGTTGCGGGAACGGTTTGAATCAAATAATAATACATGAATAGATTTGAGTATCTGTCAAGCTTGAAGTAGTATCTATACCGTAGTATGGACTATTTGGCTACGCTACTAAAGGGATGGGCCACAGAAGGAAGTGACACCGAACGTGAAAATAAGGTTTATGGACAATTCCAAACTGTGGCTATCCTCTTGACGTGGTTTTTAACCTTCGCATTTGAGAACCCCGAGGTCTTCCGACTTGTTCACGTGGCTCACTTTCAACCATATTTGCAAATCAGTCACCACAACTATGAATACTTCTGCATGAAGTAAATTCGAGTGCTGGACTACGGCTCGTATCTGGAGTCCTTTTCCTCGCAGAGCATCTCGGAGACCCATGAGATTCAAGGTGGAGCGGTTATTTGTACACTGAATAGAGTCACTGGAATCTCCACCATGCTATATGAAAACCGCTTTCTCGACATGACAACGAGACACGAGTCGAGATTAAATTCTATTAAACTCATTAGACTGCAGGCTAGAACAACCGCGACCGATATGCCTCCGGACTGACGGCATGCAGCCACCGTCGTGATGGGATTCGTGTGTCACCGTTATGCACACCATTCAAGCGGGCGGACCGCTAAATCAGTCGCTAAAGTTTACTGCGAGAGGATTTGGTCTACATACGCAGTGGCCAATACCCCGTCGCTTTCCCTCCTCTTCTCTCTCTTCAAACCCACGAAAGAGCCAAATGCGTGGAGTGCATTATTTTATTAGTGAGATCTCTTATTCACCATTGCATGTGTTAAATACACACTGAAAGAAAATAATATCTAACATCTTGGCATCATGCAAGAGATCAAATCTCATATGGCGCAGCGTGCTTTGGACGAAAACTTTGTAGTGATTTCGTAGCTAGCTTCGATGTTATGTTTGCTGGAAACTATGGGGAATGACCACGAAAATCTGGTTCACCAGCAGCGTGTAACCGGATTTTTTCTTTAAATGAGCCCGCAAGTAGAATTCATTCTGTTACGTTTCTCTGGACAGATTCGAGTAATTTTCTTTGACCCGGTGAGCGGGGAAGCTGCTCTTTGTTGTGTTTGGAAGTGTTCACGGATTTATTTAGTTTATTGAATTCCCAAAGAAATCCTATTGAAAGAGTCTTCTTGAACGCGTCACGATCATGTTGGGATTCTGACAAATACAAGGACGTTCACTCCGCCATAGCTCACAATCTTGTCCGCGATGACCTTGGATTTATGTGCGGAGGTTTCCCGAGCGTTAAGAATTTCTTCGAGACTGACCAGCGTACCAACCAACCCATTGCTGACTCGCAATTTGCCCACTCCGGACGACGTTTCGTCCGATGGTTTAGCGCAATGCATGCACGAGTCTACGTTGCTGGTGGCGAAGGGGAAAGGCAAAAGGGGAGTCCCATTCGCCACACGATGATCCGGCTGCACGCAGTGGACATGGAGCTCGGTTAGAATGTCCCTCGCTCTAAAATGCAGTCGCTCGTCACAACTCATAGATCAAAGACTCCGTTACTGACTTCAGAATCCTGCACTGAAATTACTCCACGATGCACTAGACCCTCCGAGCGTGGACCTCGAGCTCACCCTTGACCGCGAGGATTTATGTTTCATCTACAGTTTTTGGATACCTTTCGGGTCTTGCTATAAAGCCTCGCCCATGCAGATTGGACAAGACCTCCGTCACACCAAGATTTAACTTAGACATGTCTCTAAGCTGAAAGAAGTCCTCATGATTCCTGATTCATGAGTTTCATAGTTGCAAAATCGAGACGAGAAGAGCACGATTCGTTCTTCCGCTCGTTCAAAAAGGATCTCGGCAACGGTGATAATCTTGGACCATGAACAGCCAAGTGCGTGAGTGTGGTCACTTCATCTCCTCATTACACTTCATATTGACCACAACCCAATTGAAACCGTGTTCGGTCCGAGTTTGAGTACCGCTGAACTCCAAAATTTCAAGCGTAGACGGAGAATCGAATGTCAAATAGAAATCAAGAATATTTTTCCTGTCACGCTCGAGTTGCCTGTACTGATAATAAGAGCCAGTTTTGATCGCTAGAATGGCCTCGAGAGTGGAGGATGAACATAACGAGGCAGCAGTAGTAGCAGGGGCTGGAGCTGGAGCATTATCTTGCATTCTTCAAAGTCCATCTTCACAATCCATCACTTTCACACATGCAAAGAGATTACACTTATTCCTGGCTATATAGAGAACACAAGCAGCGTGCACAGGTTTTGTAGCCACATTTCAGTACTTCTCCTTCCCAAGTACACTTCGATCAGAAGCAAGGAGGATAACATAGAAGAGACAACAAAGGTGTTACAGCCATGCAACTGTGCCACACCATACTCGTAACGAGAACTCCTCAACTACATAATAGTCGTCAAGAGAAGTCCGCAATACCGGAAAAATCGCAGTTTTGATGATCGAAATGAGTTTGTAGTAGTCACAACTTGCTTTACAACACTGTGGATTCTACCATCAAGCAAAGATAACATAGCTATCTCATCATGAGTCCTAGTCAAAAGCATGCTGCAAGGTCTGACACTTGCACAACGAAATAGGGTCCGCCCACTTCGATATGCGAACTTGAATTGAGAGAAGACTAGCACATTGCAAGAAGAGAGAGGGTTTGAAGAGAGAGAAGAGGCGGGAAAGCCAAGAGGGATCTGCTCCTCCTCTAGCTCACCGCAGTCAACTTTAGGGACTGATTTAGCAAACAGACCGGCCCGACGGTGTGCGTAACGGATGGCAATTGCTATTACACATAGCACAACTTCAAACTGCCAGTTCATTTCATTCTACAGTAACTCCCAGTCAATCGTAACCGTGTTTGTTATCAGAGTTCAAACCTTGCTCTAGAAAGACAACAAGCTTTACGAATGAACAGCGATTGGAGCAACAACAACAAAATATGAGTATGAAATCCTGTCATCTCTTTCTTACTCAACTGTAAGAATAAGCGTAAGGAATATATGAAGATAAGCATCCAACTTTGCATGTTTGTTAGAGGTGCACAAAAGGCTATGACTATGACTTCCTTAATATTTAGACTATGACTTTCTTTAATGTGTAATCTGACCTACTTTATACGACATGTTTTCATTACAATATATTGCTTCATAGACAGCACTAGTTAGTATCATACATCGAATAACAGTCATGATTTTAAATATATACATTTAATCTACTTGTATTTATACATAATGTATTATATTTCATGACCAAGGTAACTAGATCACTCTGCATATGAAAAAATATTCAACAGCAACTTGCTGTGAATGCAGAGGTTGCTGCGATGGCCTAGTACGAACGATTACACTTCCAAGAGTCAACAGTTGCTTTCAAAACGCGGAGCAAGTTCACATAATGTTTTCCATTAGAATAAAAATATCCCGACATTATGGTACAATGTGTGAAAAAACACACACAATACCTCCAACACTTCCGTCCTTGCTCCAATTACTTGATTTGAGAATGCATGGGCCACTAAGTCTGTCCTTTTATACTCGTTCGTTCGACAGTCTCTCTGCCAACATGACTTCACTGGAAATGTACACTTTGGATGCGCATTTCAACATCAATATCGTAATAAGTCCGGAGCTCTTTGAAAGCATTAAACAAATGATCAAGCATGAAAAAGAGGGGGCAAAACCCCAAACAACAGCGAATTCAACAGAAAAATGTACCAACAAAAACTTGATCTTTACTCCAAAACCTATGCTCTGAAATCGAATTCAAATCTTACGTTATTCCGTCTTCATTTCCAAAAGCTTTTGGCCTAGTGCGTTGATTTTTGCATCTGCTCAAGTTAAAAAACACAGTGCAAAATGAAAACATCTAAAGATCTGAAGATCGAAGGGTCTGACTAAAGAGATTGACAATCCTCGAAAAACACATATCCGCACATTCCAGTTATTCAATTAGCAGATGTCTATCATTACTTTACAGGAAAAGAATTATGAGATATTATTACAAATTTGAGCAGCAAACTAAGACCTACAACTCACTCACATTGATACTCAAAGGATTGGGTTGAGAAGGGATCCCCTTGAGAAGTTGAAAATACATCCATGAAGTACGCATTCTCAATGACAATCGAGCTTCACAAGAGCACATGAATGTGGAACAAGTGCGAAAGTGCAGCTTCGTGTTGACAAGTTCAAGACAAGATCATTGATTAAAGCTCTCCCTTGAACAAGAACTGCTTACCCATCTTACCAATGAGGTAAAGCCACCTACCAAAGTCCCCAGCAGCCTAAGGTGTGATGTTTTGCTCATATGATATACTCTGGTGAAGTCACCAGATCCCTGTTATCCGTGCACAATTCCAAAACATTTTCTCTTGTGTACATATGTCCGCTGGACGTTTTCAAATGAAGCTCTAATAGCTGACGCTACAACTCTGGTGCTTCCTCTCCAGACGTGATTCAATCATTCGTCCTTCTTTGTGTACTTGTCAAGAGCCTGGAGCCGTTCGACAAGCGGTGGATGAGAGTAGTGATATGCTGAGTACCAGGGATCTGTGTTCATTGCTGAAAGGTTTTCCTCCTGTCACAGTAGTAGTGCAGCACGTTAATATTCGGGACAAAGCTCCTTAGGGATTAGAGGTTCTTTATAAGAACTCTTTGCCTGTATTATTAGAGTTCGTCATCTAACCAAACAAAAAGTTTGAATCCAAAACGTACATATCAATACTAACTTTCTCATCTAGAGATGCAAATCCGAAGGATACTCAGAAAAGATAAAACCATAAACAGTTTTTGCATTCTTGACCGTACTTGTAACTTGATGAGGCCTCCTCGCAAAGAATCTGCATAACCAAGCTTCCTTGCGAATGCATCCGCCTGTAAAGAAACAGAAAGCGAAAACTGAGCTTAACACGAACTAAAACTCATGAGAATTTCGAAGAAAGCGAGAATTGTAATCTATTCAAAGCACCATTTGGTAAATATCGACGCAAAATAGTAGCAACGAAAGTATTGAGCTACTTCAACAACACAATTGAACAGCCGACTACGATACTGCGGCAAAAGTTTGCAATTGATGTATATGGGGATGAAACGGAGAAGGGTGGAAGGAAACGTTAACCTGAAACTCGAATGCCCTGCTGACCAGGTTGAGGCCAAAGCTAACAAGATGTTGCAAGGGCATGATTGTATGCTGCATGTTTCAAGAAATCGAGACGGCCAGAAACTAGATATAAGACCAGAAAGAAGTTATACCTCTTACAACACAAATTGTTCAACTAAACTTCTACTGTACATCAAAGATGTGAAAACAAATGTATTTCTTCAAGATTCAAAAAAATGGCAAACTCTCAAGAAAATTAAGAACTACGGAGCTATGTCAACGAAGGATATTGATGACAAACTCATTTGATCTGGCTGTCACCATTTATCTCAATCAGCTGTTGGTCAATATTAAGTACATAACTGGAGAGGAGAGGGAAAGAACCTGGAATAACACGAGGCCAATGAGAACAGGCTGGGTTGAGAAACCAAAACTTCGGAAAAGATCAGTTGAATTGCGAACTAATGTATAACCGCCGAATTGCAACAGCGTAAGAACCTGTCAAGTTCAAGCTAATCAGTCAAGCTCAATGGTCGATTCAAGTTGTCATGTTCTTAATAAGATGAATGCATAACGTACAATCCGGAGCTACAGGTAAATAACACCCTATGTGAACTCAAATCATCCGGTAAGCAACGAGTGAGGTTTTCTACAGTAGCCGTCTATCCTAAGCAACGATCAAGTAAGAAAACTTGGAGATCAATTTGTGTATACAAATATGCAAGGCCTGCATGAGTGCTTGGTCTGAATTTGAACACTCCAAAAACATGAAATACTGTGATCAGCTGTTAGTAAGTACCTGCATGGCTACAAAGGAATACATGGTATGACTAAGCTGCCAGTGGCCAAGTTCATGTGCGAGAACTGCTACGACCTCTTCCTCCTTACACTGCAAATTTCGTCATCTGGTCAGCATCGAATCTCTTCACTTTGATGACATAGGGACAAAGATCGTTGATTGATGCAAAAGCACGATCGTCCGTTACAACCATAGTAACAACATTCCTTCTAGAAAAGCAAATGACTTCAGATAAAGCAATGGAACATATATTGCTTATTCCAATGAAGCAACAATTCACCGGAAGTACCTGTTGTATAAGTGTATCATAGAGCACAATGCGCTTGCTGTTGAAAAATCCATACATGTATGCCTGCAAAACCGTATCATCTTAGACTTGAATATCAACGAAGCATGAGGCAGAAGAACATCCATGCATGATCTGAGCACGAATCACAAATGTGTATCAACTTACATTGCTATGGCTAGATCTTGTAGATCCGTCAATGACAAACAGCTTCTTCAAGGGAAACTTTAGTGATGACGCCAGCTTCTCGATTTTTGCCCTCAGCTCTCCTTCGGGCAGCTGTGCAGATATACCCAGCAGGACCCATATGTTAGCGATTCGCACCGCATTGCACCGTGGGAGTAACATGATTCACAGCTTCAGGCAGTTCCAAGGTAAATGGCTGCTGACAACATATGTCTTCCAGACAAACATTGACAGGCAACAATAAACTCTTGAACCCCGATTTGGAATACTTACTGGAGTGAACTTGTTAAACAGTGGGGCAATGAGAACGGGATAAATAGCCATCATCCCGAGTGACAAAACCAGCATGAATCCCCACAAATAAAGAGCAAGGTATGGACCTCCTTTCTGCAGACATTGGAAAACGCAGAGGACATATTAGCAAGGCACATGCAGTCATACGTTTTCGTCACACACTTGAACAACAAAATGAGACGATGATGCAGGTCGTAAAACATAAGGTAGAAGGAAGTGCAGTAATACCTGAACCAGGTAGATGATAGCAGAAACAATGGGTGGGCCAAGTACCACCATCAACAGCATTGCAAGGATCATATCCTTGAAGAAAAGCCACACTGTTTGCTGCAGGATGCAATCAAACAATCTCAATATGCAGACCACTTCACCACAATGAAAGAAAAAGTCTGAAACTTTCACACATGCGAACGTTTCAACTGTAAATATTGCTAAAATCTTCTTTACCAGGATTCAAGTAGCAACTATGTCGATCTCTAGTTCCTTAAAACCTCTAAATCTGTAACCAAAAAATCATAAGAATACGTTCACACATACAAAGCAGTCAACATAAACAGGTAAGTTACCTTGTTCACAAATACAAAGCAGTCAATATAAGGAGGTAAGTCACCTTGTTGAAGCCATGGCGTGCCTCAATTACAAATGTAGAGTACAGTGAGAACGGTAGCTCCACCACCTGCATACCTTCCAGCATTACTTTCAAGCCAGAATTTGGAACCAAACAGACTTCACAAGCAGCAGTTATCGCACGTCATCCGGAATCAAGCAGGATAAGGCTGAGAATTAAACCTGTGTCCATACTGTCGTAGCACCCAAAAACGCCAAGGTGCGTAGGATCTCGTTTTCTGGGTTGAAGCCCCAATTCTCTAAAAGCACTCCACATTTCTGCCAGCATCACGCCAAACGACCAAATCAATATCAATCAAACTAATCTTCGGATGCAGGAAGAAACATATAACTGCGATACTCGCACATACACATTTCTCAGGTCACATGACAGAAGATAATGCTCACATGAAACAACTTCCACTACAAGCATGCTAAAAAACAACTGATCAAAGTATTATATGAAAATATCAGGCGCACCATCCAAAAATAAGGCAGCAACCCAAAAGACAGGATTGCTCCCTCCTCCAAGATATTGAAACATGCATGTACAAAGTGGAACCGGCTGCACACACCAAAGACATATCAAAAAATCAAATCATTTCGGTACAGGTATTAGCAGACTTTGTAGTTCTATAATTCACTCAACAGTAGTCCTCGAGGTAGTCCCACTTCCTGAGTTGTCTCTATCAGTCACAATCAGTCTTCGTAAATATAGTGGCCAGGAATGAAACAAGTTGAAAACTGGATCTGTTCTAAAGAGAATCCACAGACACCCGGGTTTAACCTTTCAAAATATACACAGTACCTCTTATCTAAACTGTACGCCCGGGCCTTTCCAAACTTTTCATCGCTCACAACTCCCTTCAGTGTAGCCGGTAGGGTTGGGAGCGCCAAAATTTTGTGCTGACGAAGGTCAAGGTACGTTTCAAAGAAATACATACATATCATAAAACCTGTATCAGAAGACGATAGAATCAGAACATCTATACGACTAATTTCCAAAAACCACATACGTAAAAGTGTACATGCATGAGAAGAAGGGAGGTTGTAACTTGATCTGACCTAAATAGATTCTCAAGTTGTAACAAACAATGTAAGCTTCAAAATTTGGCTGTTGATCAAAAATCAGAGTGTAACAATAAGCGTACAGACAGGCTCACACGGTACCAAACGATGTTTATCTGTGAACATCCTTTCAACTTCCAACAGCTCTTTCACAAAAACAATCGTCACGTCGCATTTTTCCACTCCAGGTTGGATAATTACATACTGAAAATAACAGGCGACCAGCGACCAGGATAAAAGAACTGAAGGACGAGCACATATCTAAAAAACCAAGAAACAGTTGACGGCAGTTTCTTGCGGGAAAGTGTGTCTTCCTCAAATTACTGAGCCAAGGGAAAACGATGTGACCTTCACCAATCGGTATCCATAAATAAAATGTCCAGCCCCCCGCGGAAATGGAATAACACCTAAAAATTCGTGCTGAAATGAACAAAATTGACAGAACACTCATCGAATAAAAACTTCTTTACGAGAAATATCAGCATTCCAAGAAGCATACCGATAACCGCTTCCAAGTAAGGGAACCCAGAGTAAGCAGAAGACGACGGCAACAAGGAGTCCGTCAACGCCTGCTCAGCGGTCAAGTTCGCACTCGACTCCATATCGCTCCACCCCCACCCCCCTGCTCCTAACTCCTACCTCCTAAAAGCCGTGGCTGCCTCCTCCGACCACTCCAACCTCGACAGAAAATTCAAAGATTCAGCAATCTCCCCAATTCTCTCCGGCCTGGCCTGAAACAAAGTGCAATAGCCAGCCCGCCGTCGAGGCTCGATCGGCCGGTGCGCCCACAAAATACTCGTTCCAAATATTCCCTTCTCCCCTCGCTTCGTCTTCCTCTCGTCGTCCGTCTCGTCTCGCAGCCTTCAATCGACAAATCTACGTGCGACTGGCCCCGGCCTTCCTCATTCTGCTCGACTGCCTTCGCCACCGGCTGCTCCCTCGAGTCGCCACCGAGACCGAGTCCGTCAATGGAAGCGCCGCTTATTCCTTCGCTGGGCAATTCTGATCTCCGTCCCGGCTCTTTAATCCCGAGCCTTTCCTCTGAACCCAAGCTCCGTCCGCTCTCTTTTACCACTTCCAACTCTCTCTCCCTCTAACCTCGACTGTACTATGCGCTCCTCATACTCGGTACCACTTCTGGTACCCGGTTTCTCCAGAGTAACTACGGCCTGTTCGATGACCTGGTTGCTGTCCAGTGGAGGGCTCTCGTCCAGATGGGAGCACGAGATTCTAGTACGTGGAATATGAGTGAAGATGGGAAGGCCTATCACGCAAATGATGAAACGGGCGCACCTGGCCGAGTGCCAACTCTGGATGAGAAGAAATTGGCCCCCCATCAATAATGTGAAGAAGTTGGACTCATGCTTTGACCGAAGTGGATGAGGTCAAGTGCGATAGACCTTTGGGCGAGTACAAAGTATAGTCTTTGCACGTTCCCTCTGAAGAAATGCAGAGTTGAAAGTTTGAAACGAGTTGGAGTTATTTATCCCTGCCCAGGCTAAACTTTGGCAAAAGAATCTTCTTCTTCTTCTTCTTTTATTTATTTATTTATTTATTTATTTAAATAAAACACACGCACACTCTATATATATAACACTCAGAGTAAACATAAAAATTGAATATTATTTATAATAATGTTAAACATTTTGAAGTGCACTCAATTCATGATTTTCATTTCAACGAAGTGTGACTATGTTCAATGTACAGCGTGGTCACTATGCTCTTGGACTTCCACGCCCAAAACTGAAGACCGCAATGCTCTTGCAACTCGGTCCGCCGCGAGCTACGTGCTTGTGTACCTGGTACTTGATGCATAACTGGGCCTACGTTGATAGCCCTCGACTCCAACTCCGTAGCTGTAGGACTCAGTAGCTACTGTGCGTATCGTGTGTGCCAAGTGGTGACTGGTTGCAGTCTGGGTTTTAATTTTTGTCTCAGGACGACATTCTTTCTTGTGCCTGCCAAGTTTTGTTTTTATTAACCAGGGTCACTACTTTAGCCAGGGCGGTACGTACTTGTTAGGGGTAACATAATTCAGTTTTGGGTTATCATGAAGTTGAAGCACATGAATAAAAATTGAAAAATAGAGAAAAACTATTGACTCATTGACATCGTCATAGTCTTACTTATGGGAGATCATATGCGACGATCCCTAATTTCCAAAGATCAGTAAGAAAGTTTCTTTCTGTATGATACACATGTGGGTCCACTCAATCCAACCTTTAAGTCTTTGAATATTCATCTTGCAAGCTTCATTTTCACAATGTCAAAGTGCTGGACATGGTACCATGTCCTCATTCATTGTAATTTTTAGCTTACAAAGACATGTAGACATATGCAGTGATTTACCAATTCTTGGAATATCATTGAGATATGAAGGCTTTCTTTCTCTACATTGACATATTATCTAACAAGGATTCATATAAGCTTGAAAATATCTATAATGAGATCGTAAAGAATATGGTGTTTGCAATGGTATATGAGTTTAATTACATCACATATAACATCTGGCAGTCTAATTCAGTTATTGTTAATCTATAAATGGCTTGAGATAACTATGTGTGCTAAGAGAATACATGTCACACATCTTTTATAATAGTCTACAAGTGTGGACAGTAGCCAATTTGTCCAAGTATATGGATGTATTAAAAAATTTAACTATGTGCTTTTTGGGAATATAACTTCAATACATACATCTGAGAAAGAATTTTAGAATTTACAATATTATGCAACATAGAGGATTACTTGTTATCCAATATCCAATTTTATTTGATTTAATTTAGACAATTTTTATCCATTGTATTTCAATAAATGTAATGGATGCACTAAATATTCTATACCATCGCAAAATACAATTCTTAAAAAATGTAAAATGTAGGACGTGTGATACAACTAGTATATATATATATATATATCATCTAGCTAAACACACTCTTTTGAATGGGATTAACCAATTTTTTGGCCATGTCATTTGCTTTAATTTTCATTGAAATGGGTGTTTACTACTATATAAACTAATGTAAGAATAATGTCTAGACGTTATCGTCAAGACAAGTACAGTAGCTCGATAATATTCGAAGGGGTAGCCTTTGAGAACCTTACGTCATTTACCATCATGGTACATCATGTGAGGCTGTTGAACTCGTTTCAATATATCCCAAAAGCTTCAAGGTGACGCTAATCGGGCTCGACTGTGCTTCTTCGAACTTTCATGTAAGACCTTCTTACAAAGAGTCAAACATTCTCCCAATGAAGACTTTTCGGTCTTATTCGTTTTTCCACAGGTTTGGAAAGTTATCGGTACACTCAATACCACCCTATGTGACAACAACCATCGGACCGGAAAGAACAAATTTAAGACTGGTGCTTGTGATCGACGGGGATGCTCTTTCTTCAGCTATTTCTAGGTCTGATAAATTTCTGGAACTATTTTCAATTTGGACTATTACGACTACGACAACTACTATGGCATTCTTATAAGTATATCCTAGAAATTCTGTTTAATTGTCTTACAGAAGAAACTATGGGATGGACGAAAGTACTCTTTCAAACTTCAATTTCTTCATGTGTGATGATGTACTTTTCGTAAAACAACAAGGTATGAAATTAGAAATTTATTGGAAGAATAAACTGTACAATCTATTAATTAGTTAAACTAGAAAATATATTAGCAATAGATGCTAATATATTAGAAACTAATAGATGCATATGTCCGAATTTTTACATATTTATAATTTTTTGAATATTTTATTTTATTTATCAAAAATCCCATAGATATATTTATTTATCTCTTTATTTATTTAAAAATAAGTCATGGTGCAAGTACCCAGCAATTTGGTCATAATATTCTGAGAACAAAAAGTTTTAAAAAAATTTCTTCATTTAGAAATATTTTAACATCCTTTTTTCAATATTTGAATATTTTGTTTTCGATATCCATACGGAATATTTTGTCATATAACGAAGTATTTCAAGTATAAACATCTTTTGTCATATCTATGTGTTTCAAATAATTCAAAAAAATTGGTACTCAAGAAGTCTTAAAAAAATAAATGTATAGAAAATATTAAGGAATATATATATATATATATATATATATATATCAACTCACTTCGTATCTTCTATAACTAGAATACAGATCCACACCTACACATTATGTAGGGCTGGTCATATGTTTGTAAAAGTTTTATATAAAGTGACTTTGTGCTTAAAACAGGTGTGACAGATTTCTAGAAAGCCTTCAACTCTAGGCCTCTTTTTGTAATTTACAAAAAAAAACAATTTATCAATATGTTCCAAATTTTAATCCACACATATACGTAACTTTGAATGTATAATAAAAAAGAACTAAAAAATACAAAATACTTGAATCAGTAGTACATGGATGAAACCAAAGAATTTAAAACAAAAGTATCTCAAACTATGTAATCGTGTATTTGATAAAAATGCTACAGACATTATATTGTCTATTCGAATATATCCATGCTATCTACAAGAATAATATGATAAAATATAAATATTTAACATCTTCATTATCTAATATATTAAAGAATAATAGATATAAATGTCTAGGTAAAGTGGAGATTACATTGGTTATAAAAGTAATTTAAAAAATTACATCAAGTTAAAGAAATCATTATATTAACAGAACTAGATTTGGACAGACATTGTTGTTATAAAATATATATCATATATATATATATAGAAATATGAATGATTTTATATTCTATAATATGCTTGTTTATCTTATGTAAGAACATAATTCATGTCATACACCCTGAACCTATAATGTTTATTTCATTATACATTCAAAAATATTTTTTCAAGAATCTTATAAAAAAATTCCAATTGCTAAGTTGCACGTGTGTCGAACCAAAAAATAACTATTAATCTATTATAGAAATCAGTAATATATGCTAATGTCGTTCTAAAATTTTAAAAATTTTGCTGTAAAAGTAACGAAAAATTCATTATTCAAGTGAAACAATTACTACATTCTTCAGTTCTTTATGCTTCCTAGTTAAGCATCTAGGATAGTCTAAAAACAATTTACAATCATCTTTTTGAATCATCGAGAAACTTCAATTGCACACAAAACATATTTCATCGGGCCGGTTATATTGGCGTTGTAAGCTTGACTTCTAGCACACGATTCGACATTTGTTTGGGTTTTCTCATTTTATTATGCTCTATCCTTACTTCGATTTCTCAATTATAAGTAATGAAAATTTTCCTTGCAACCACAATGAGGTTTGATATGGTTGTCGTTGCGATGGGTACAATACCAAACATCCATGTCTGTGAACTTCATTAATAGACAGCCATGGTTGTCATTTGGTCCTCTGAGTGTACGTGAAAGATATCCGATTTAACGCATACGAAGAAATAAGATGTGAGAAGTATGGTCAAGAATAACTTCTGTACAAGAGATTTACACTGTACAAACTGTGTTGCTGGTGAAGCAATTCCTGGTATTGAACACTACCAATATTACCTACCCAAAGGTTTCATGAACCCCAGGTGAGTTACAATGTCGATGAGTAGCCATGCTTAGCCCAAAAATTTAGAATGCCCCTTAGAACATCACAAACATGAACTAAGAGCCCAATGTCTTAACATGCTTGGTCCAATTGTACATTATTAGAAAGACCTGTAGAGGAGGTTTCTATGAGAGTCGTGGCAAAGTGACAGTGTTATATGAACATCTTCTATGATGTCTACAAAAGGGGGCCCCTTTTGTGGACATTGCACACTCTACGACAATATCTCAGTGTGAAGAACTGCTCTACCCTGGACCTACAAAGTGGGAAACAATTTGGAAGGGGCTACATGATAAACTGAATACTATACAAATCAAATATATACACATGACTACCTGAATCAGCTAACACTTGAACTAATAACCTTCAGACACAACGAGCAATTAAGAAGAACATATTGATGCTCAGAAAAGACCAGACATCAGAAGAAAGAAGAGGCGTCTTCAAAAGTGACGTTCAGAAGATCCAGAACAAAGAGCGAGTTCTCCAGTACTATGTCAATACGACGACCCGGTTGACCACGTGGTGAGTTGCCTACTAATGTCAACGTGAACAAAACCGACACGGCTTCATTATTAGTGACCTCTGTGCTGGGCCAATATTATGTTAGCCACGCCGCTTATCCAGTCCGTTTAACACTCCAAGGTATGGATACAAGCTATGTACTCCTACTGACAGATCCTTCGGACGACTTACACTGCTCTGCCAAAAGCAAAAATCGGAGGACAATGCAGGAGACTGAACAAGAAGAAAAATTCTGTTGAATGATTATAGACAAATGGACAAGTGGCACAACTACTGATCTGTTGTGAAGAAACCACATTTGTCCGGCTCTTTTCATTATATTACAATGACTGCAGAACCACCCCAGAATCTTCATGTGGGATGGTAACAATCTTTCAAGCACAACTCATCCACTCCTGTCAAAAATAGCACCCCGTGTACTCCTCAAAGGTATCGGGGGCAAAGGAAGTAGAAGAATAATCACAGAAAAAGAGAGGAACTGAGGTAGAAGGACAGACTCTCTTCGTAAACAAGATAGCGATGGGAACGAAGTACGAGTATCAAGTAGTCAAAGGCAAGGGTTGAAGTCTCTTCAAACCATTCACTACTTGTTTCATCGACGGCCTGATTGATAAAGAGTCCACTGTACAGAGCACCGCCAGCTTTAAGGTCTCCAGCAAAGTATCCTCCGGCCCTTGCTCCCACAAACCAACGGTGAAAACCTCGTGCGCTCGTTCCTGACGGATAAGAAGACAGGCCCAACTCACAATATTGAAGCTGTCTCCAAATTCAAAAAAACTGGGATCTCCTAATGCTCGCTTGTTGGAGAGAAGCTCTAACAAAACCACCCCGTAGCTGTACACATCAGCCTTGTCAGTGACACGGCAAGTCATTGCATATTCTGGGGCGACGTATCCGAATGTCCCGGCCACGTCTGTCGTTGCATGAGTTTCAGAAGTCCCCAAAAGCCGTGCCAAGCCAAAATCTGAAAGATGTGCGTTCAAATTATCATCCAGAAGGATGTTGCTGGGCTTTATGTCACGATGAAGAACTCTCGGAACGCATTCGTCGTGCAAGTAGGCCAGTGCTTCTGCAATTCTCAAAGCGATACTATGTCGCGTATGCCAGTCCATGTCCCCTCTCTCACTGTGAATGAGAGTTTCCAAATTTCCTTGCGGAAAGTAATTGTAGATCAGAAACATCTCATCCTGACTAGCATGGTAGCCTATGAGGGTGACAAGATTGGGATGTCGTATTCTTCCGAGCGTTCGGATCTCCGTGTCAAACTGCTGCACTCCCTGAAACCTCCCTATGGCAAGTCTCTTCACTGCCACCAAAAAGCCAGGCCTCAACTCGGCTTTGTAAGTTGCGCCAAAACCTCCATTCCCTATTAGATTGTCGATGCTGAAATTGCCTGTGGCCCTGACAACACTCTCGTACGTCATGTTACAGTGGATGGTCATGAATGTAACTACTTCTTTCCGACCTGGGGTCGGACAATGACTCGTAGGGCTCCGTTGCCTTGTGCATTGAAAAAGTATACCCAACACCAACAAAACCAATGCAATTGCGCACCCTGACGTGATAGCCGCTATCAATATAGAGCTCAATCTCCTATTCTGCACTTCAAAAAACCCGGGCGGCATTTGGGACACTGAATCAGGTGGCACACCTCCCAAGTAATTATTCATAGTGCTTTGAAGCAATCGCCTAGACAACTCACTGGTCACCTCGCATCCTTGAATCATAGGATTTCCACCGACCCTTCTAGTAAAGGTGACGGAGTCCATATTCCTCAACCACGTTACCGATACCGAAAATGTGTTGCAGGATAAGTTAACTTCCACTAAGGAAGAAAGACTGCAGAGGCCGGCGGGGATTAGTCCGTCAAATCGGTTATGGTTCAAATAGAGCTTCTGGAGCTGTCGAAGGGAGGAAAGTTCCTCTGGTAACGTACCGCTAAAGGCATTATGGGACAAATCTAGAACTTGGAGACTTCTGGCGTGGCCCAAAGAAGTGGGCAATGATCCACACAACTCGTTTTGTGCCAGCAAAAGCACCTTCAGAGACTCCATCTTGCCCAAATTACTTGGTAGGTTACCTTGCAAATGATTATTCGATAGGTCGAGGCGTGCGAGATTCTTCAACTCACCAAACTCTGCTGACATCTCCCCAGTGAAGTCATTTCCAGCAGCCAGAAATTCCACCAGGGACGCACACTTCCCGAGCACCGCAGACGGAAGAAGTCCTGTGAGCTTGTTGACACTGAAGTCGACTGCAAATCCTCGCACTTTATCACACACGTCGAAGAGATGTGGAGAAATAGTTCCTGTGAGTTGATTTCCGGCCATAGACAAAGAGTACGTAGATACGCCTTCCGATATGCCTGTTCCCAAGAGGGAGAGGGGAATCGTACCTGCGAACTGATTAAAACTCCAATCGTGGACAACATCCGTCTTGCAGCTGGTTGGCGAATAATTATGGGACGCCCACAATAAAGTGCAACGATGGTGAGTGCAACTCAACGCTTCCCGGTTCAAAGTATGTCTGAGTAGGAGGGACCAGGTGATGTGATTGTAGAAGTCTTTCACAGGCATGGGCTTCGCACACTCGAGAGATGAAAGGCCAGGTAGTCTCCCGGAAAACATGTTCCTACTCACATTGAAAACCACCATGCATCGGCCGGATACTCTAGGAGGAAAGCTCCCACTCAACTGGTTGGAACTCACGTCGAGATAGATAAGCTTCTTACACCTGCTCAACCCTTCATGCAATTCTCCAGTGAAGGCATTTTGTGCCAAATTCAAAATCTCCAAGTTGCTGCAGGCACCCCATACTCTGGGAAAAGTTCCAAGCAAACCTGCTCTAGGGGCCCACAGAACCCGCATAACTGGGAGAAAAATGAGTCCTTCAGGAAGACGACCTTCGAAGCGATTGTTTTCGCCTGAACCCAATCTGACGCTACGGCGCGTCCAGCTGCCAGGAGCATCCTTCCTTGATGATCTAGAAGCACTCTGGCCCGAGAGTACCAAAACCTCGAGTCTCTGACACCGTGCTAACTGGGGAGGAATGTGACCGCTCAACTGATTGACCGCAACCTGCAAGTACTTCAGACTGGACAATCGCCCAAGTTCGGGAGGGATGCTACCCGACAAACTGTTAGAGTTCAGACTGAGCCACCTCAAACGACCACAGTTGCCTAGCTCCGAAGGGATACTACCCGTGAAACCATTTCTCGAGAGGTCCAAAAATATCAATTTGCACCTAAGAGGTGTCAACTCCGACGGAATGGTACCGGCAAGCTGATTGGAAGAGAGACCCAACCATTCCAATTGCTGTAAGCTTCCAAGAGATGGAGGAACAGTTCCTGTGAGTTCATTTCCAGCAAGACTCAAACTACGCAGTTTGCGACAGAAGGTGAGTTCGCGAGGTATGTGGCCCTTCAGAACATTGTTGTTGAGGTTAAGGACTCGTAATTCGCGCAGCTGACCAAGCTCCCGAGGAAGTCTTCCATTCAGACTGTTCGACTGGAGGTCTAGCGTGTGCAAAAACTCTAGCTTAGCTAGCTCCCTAGGAACTTCTCCCGTTATCTTGTTGTAGATTATGGACAAAGTTCTCAGCTCCGAGAGATTTCCGATCTCCGGAGAAAGTGTACCCGACAGAGGGCACCGCACCGAATTTCCAGCCTCCCCAGGTGTGCTCAAAACCTGTCTAAGGCTAGAATTTGGCGGGCCAGATCCATCTCTACTAGAGACTAAAGGCGAACTAAGAACACTACCATTTACAACACTACTTGCGGTGGCCTCCACCTCAGTCAGGTCGGGCCCAGAGGACGCCCCATTCCGTTCGACTAATCCGGCCTGCCTTCCGTCAATGTTCAAACTTACTACCCGCAGAGAGTTAGCGTCGCAGGTTACTCCACGCCAGTTACAAGGATGAGAGTGTGTCTCGTTCCAGTCGGCCAAAACATTACAAGTGTCGAGCGTAATCCCCCTCTTGAAGGACAGAAGATGTAATCCATCGCTAGAAAGAGCTAGTCCGAGATCGAGCAAAGTTACCAGAAATACGAGGTAGACTAAGCAGCAGGCTGAACTCTTCTGCGTTGCTGTTGACCCTAACCTTACAGTCCTCGTTTCTCCCACCACCCTATTTGTTGCACAAGTCATTGCCTCTTAACTCCTCTCGTGGCTCTTCAACTGAGCCTTCGAAGGATGCAGACTCCGCGGCAGCATAAGGACCAAAAACAGGAGAAACACACGCATAAGGCAAGCCCGCGAACTCAACAACGAAGCAGCACCGGCCTTCCACCACTGCGTTGTTCTCAACAGCTCGTCATGGCAGGAGACGAGAAGCACAACGACAACCCCTTGCCATGAGGAGATCGGTTAGGAGTGAAGGAAAACACGCGACGGAGATAGCGACAAACTTTGCACAAACCTCCTCCAGCTACATCTCATTTTTTTCCTCGACAAACGCTCGCCGACCACTGGCTCTGTTTCTCAGCTTCCAACCTTGCAGCATCCCCGACGACTACCTCTATCTCCTTTCTCTCGCCACCCCGACACGCTCCCGCCCTATCACCCTCGAGTCTGCCAGTTTCCTAGACCCGCTTCGACAAGACTCCGCAGAAGTCGCTCACTGCACTGTCAGGTACCTATCGACACCTTCCCGGTTCAAAACACAACCTCCTCCACTAAAGCTCTTCAACTCTTCCGTCCCTGCCTCTAACTCCGAATAACTCCACTGTCACCTCCTCCAAGCTCCCTCACTCCCGTCGGCTCTCCCTGTCACCCCGAACACATCTCTCCCTCCTCCTCTCTTCGCAAGTTTCGACTTTCACAGTCGCATGTCAGCAACAACCACGTACGTTACAACGAGGCAAAGAGCCCGACACCAGAGAAACAGACACCGGCAGCACCAGCCACGAGCCCCGCAGCTATCCCTAATATCTTCCGCCTCTTCCTCCCTCCGGATTCTCACAGCCCTCGACCGCTCCTCGGAAAAGCGGAGCTGTCGAAACCAGCTCGACCTTCGACGCTCTGCCGATCATACGAAATCCTTGTTCCCTCGCGCCAGCGTCCAGCTTCGCGCCCTGAGGCCAGCGAGAGCAGTGGAATTCGTCCCGCGGCTGAAAGCCTTCATGTCTGAAAGAGAGAAAGAGGGAGAGAGAGACCGAAGAAATCGCTCGCTCGCTCGCACTCCAACCACCACCGCAGCAGGAGAAGCAGGCAGGATGCTTGCAGGACGCCGTGGGCAGAAACACACAATGAGATCAGCAGCGGGAGAGGAGGGCACGGAGGGACGGAGGACGAAGCACCTGCGCTAGGTTGCGCCTCGTCGTCGTCTTTCGTCGTCGTCGTCGTCGTGGCCCGGTCTCGCTCGCCCCTATCGGCTCCAGACAAAGCTTCCGCCCTTCATACAATACCCGTGCGTTTCGGACAATGCGACACACGAACCCGCTGCAGCTGATCCGAGGCTCATCTTTCGCTTGGCGGCTCCAGTCCTACCTTCTGCTGGGGTCGGACTGGACGTCGGCCGCCACCCCCGTCCCGGCCTGGGGGAGCGGACTCGAGCTTGGCGGCCAGTCCCGCCTCCGCCTTTGCTTTGTTGGAGGGAAGTTCTCCTCGGTCCCCGAGTCCAGTCCAGGCCGGTCCAGTCCAGTCCAGTCCTCGCCTGCCCGCCGTGCTGCCTGCCTGCCTCTCCTTCGGTCCGCCTGCCTCGATCTCCAGCCCTTAATCGTCGATCTCGCGGGCCGCTATTTTATTCTTACTTTTAACTTTTGTCCGGGTCTCCTTTTTCTTCTCGCCCGGATTTCTTTTCTGTGTTTTTCAACGTGGAAGTCTGCGGTCAAAGCATAGCAGCCATTGGTTTGCGAAATAGGCCAGTGTGGGGTGATCCCACAATATATGCTACCGCACTTGGGGAATTCCCTTAGCCTAAATTTACAAACCAGCGGGCGATCACTTCATCCGGTGTACTTGTGTCTTGTTTCGAGCATCCAGCTCATCATGCTGATTCACGGTCGAAAATATAGCTCTTTTCCTCCGGAAAGAGAAGCACGCACCCCTGCGTATTAAAAATGGCTATGTGGCTAACGAGGTTAGCCAGTTAGCCATTAGGGCATTTGATCTTGATTCTCGCATGTTTGGGCATTAAATCCTCATGCATATGCGAGGATTTTTACCAGCTATTATACTCGTCCTCGTGCAAATCATGTCAAGATTGTCCGGAGAAGGTGTGTTAGTTCCAATTTACTTCCTCCTGGTAAACCGAGTTTCACGTCCTATAGCTGACTCTTGTTGTTCGACTCTGCTGGGAGTGTCGTATCAACTCGTGAAGGTGCGCAGGCTATTGTAAGACTGCGAAAGCATAAGCTTTTAAGAATGATTAAATATTCCTACTGCTTGACCAATGTCTTCGCTAATAGTGTGCGAACTTGGCAAACAGATAAACCTTTCTCTAAGTAACATTTGTCTTCCTTGCAGGTAGATCTATCTGACTTCCATGAGCTGTATTAATGTAAACAGAAGAGTTGGAAGCCACATAAACGATTGGGTTTTGTGTATCAAAACCTTATTGGATAGCTAATATACATAAGATATGACTGCTCTTGCAGCCATTACTCATGAGAAATATTGTATCTTCTGGTGTACATAACAGCTATTTCCTGTTGTTAATTAATCAATAACAAGCAACTTTTTTATTGTTACTTGTTCAATTTAGCGGAGTTATATGTCTAAAGAAATTTCAATTCAATTGCAATATATGTCACGTGCCCTAGACATCATTAGAGGTTTTATGAAAATATGTTGCATTTATTGAGATAAAATTGAGTATAATATTTTTCAAATTACACTTTATACATACTTTTATAAAAATAAATATCTTACAAATTAATTATAATCACTCCATTCATCATTTTAACGTTTTTTGATAGATAAATCTTATGTTATATGAGTTTACATTTCCATCTTTTAGTTGGTGCCAAAATCCAAAGAAAATTGTAAAAAAAAAAATTTAAAAATCAATGTTACAATACTAATTGACAACATGGTGCATTTTGTAGATCTCCATATGTCTTGACGTCATATTTATTTCCCATCAAATATTTTCACATTTATTTAGATGAAAATTTATTATTTTGTGCAGCAAATTTTCCAATATATTTTTTTGTTTTATTTTATATCTAAAAATCCAAAGTTATGACTCGATTTTTTGTGGTTCTTTTTTGTTTGCTTTACAAGTATTTAGTAATGACCAACAATGATATTGCATGAATCTAAATTGTTGATCATTAGAATTGCAAATTGCAAACAAACATTAACACTTCAAACTCTCTTCTTTTTTCTGTGTGTATAATGTAGATTACTTTGCTGCTTTTTCATCAAATATACATATCATAATACATATGACACTCATCATCAAATCATATATGGCATAAATAATATTAATACAAAACTTTAAACTTCCAATGTATGAACTATTGAGTAGATTAAATTAATTACATGTAAGTTTCACTTTAAAAAATAAGTCATACACAATTGAATAGGTTTGTTGCATATATACTCTAAAGAAGTTTTCAAAAAATTATATTAAACATATAATATACTAAACGTTAAAGTCTACAGTTAAAATCTGAATTTTTCATATTAATTCCACTTGCAAACATCAAGACTTGAAAAAAACTAAGCAATATTTTTTGATTTTTTTTTTAAACATTTTATTGTTAATTTCCAAAAAAAATCTAGGTTTTTCATTTCAAGCAGTTAATACTCTTGCAAACAATATATTTCATATTGAATAACTTTATTACAAATATTATTAAGCTCGATCGTGAAGTTATGTATTTATAGTGTGTTAAATGCAATTGTTTTATATTAACTAATTATTGATATATATTTAGATTTAGATTCTATTTTATTTGCGTCACCTTTAGCCATCTTCAACACTAATACTAAAGACACATAACTGATATTAAGCAAGTTTACTATTTAAATTTGTTAGTGGAGTATATTACAGGACCAAAATAGTTCGACATCAATAGTAAACATTGTACATCATTTTTTTATTATATGTGACAATATGTGTCATATGATTTTGTTTTACATGACATATATCATTAAATTTATCACTATGTGTAATATGATATGCTCTACACAATCTTTGATTAAAATATCATCAAATGCTTTATGTTCATATGACATGAGCTTGATATAAATATTTCAAACAAATTTGTGTGTTTTAAATTTACCAAGCTGAATAGCAACTTTCTCATGTGATGTAATAAAGATTTTGTTGTTACAAAAATTCATAAGAATTGCATAACATATGACAAAAACAAAGTTACTTACATAAACAAAGTTTTTCAGATTTTTTTAACTGAAAAACAATAATAATTTATCATAATTTATAATTGTATTTCAAATGTTGTATGAATTCATTGATGTAATGAAAGATAAATACCAAAATGGAGCATAATGGTACAGATCCTATCCCACGATGACAGAATCAACACTAAAAGGCATGATTTGTCACGTATTAACATTCTATTTACAAGGTTTACTTCTTAGGCCAATGTCACTCATAGAAGACACAGCTCAATTACGGTCGAAGATCCGAAGAGCAGAGTATAGTAACCCTTACAACCTGAAACTTGTCCAATCAACACTTGTGGGAATTGCCTGCGACCCCACACTCAGATTTCATGGGGAAACTTCACAGAAATTGCATACATTCGACTTACTGATCTGAATACCCAAATCCGAATTTGCTTAAATCTCGAAGGGTCCCCGGCTACTCAGAACATTCAGGTTGGACACTCACAACTCCCGATGCGGTAACTTCAACAAACGGGAGCGGACTGTGCTCGATGACAGGATCACACATCAGCACAGAGACACATAGTGGATACAGGTTCACAGACAAGACAAATCAATTGACAGAAAAGCCTCCCAAGGAAAGAGACTTGGACCTCTTTATTCACAACGATGACCTAAGAATCTCAACCGTCTGAGGTGAATTACTCTCACGTGCGGTGCCATCCGACGCGGCGGTTGCAGCGTCATCTGAGCTTACGTCTGCTCCTAACCTACGCAACACGTTTAGACTCTCTATCTCTACGTTCTCTCGCATTTCTTCCAATCCCTCAAAAAAAGACTTAACTAATTCTACCAACTGTTTGTGCCCCGCGGATCCGCTGGCCTTTGCGCTTATCAAACGTAGCTCTAGTGAATCCAGCTTCAGCCACTTAACCGATTGCAATTCCCGCATTGCAAATCCACGTATGCACTTCTCAACACGTAATCTCAATTCGTCGGTCGTCTCATCCGCAACTGACGGTATGTTGCCTCTGCTTGCTCAGTTCTCCGCTGTGACTATTTTGATCTCATTGCAGCCTTCCCCAACTGCTCATGCAATTGTCGTTGTTCCGATTCGACCTTTAATCTACATTCGACTTCCGAAGATCTGGCCGACTCGCAATCCGCCAACTTCTTGGCCCAATCCGTCAATTCTCCTTCGTGCTTCCGAATTTACTCCGTCAAACTTGCCATAAGCTCCTCCGCGTGTTTGAATTCCTTGTCACGATCATTATCAAGCTTCGCAATCTTACTCCGAAGTTCTTCTTCTTCTGTCTTCTTGTCACAATCATTAGCCGCTGCAATCTGTCCACAAAGATCTTCGGCGATACGAGCTTCTTCGGCTCTTCGTGCTTCCACCTTAGCTAGCTCTTTGGCATGCATCTGTTCTCGTTTCCCTGCAGTTGTAATAAGTCTTTTCGCACGTTTCACTGCCGCCTCGTACGTTTCCTTGGACTTCTCCAATCTTCCGCACAAGTCCACTGTCACCTTCTGTGCATTCTCATTAGTGGTACGAAGACTGCTACAAGCATACTCTAACTCTGCACAATGATCGGACTCCTTCGCTAAATTCAATTGCATCACTTCGCACTCCATCTCCTTCGCACGAAGTCGGTCTTCTTGTTCCTACAATGTCGACTTCGCCGTTACGCACTCGGCTGCCAAGCTTGCAGCTTGCTCCTTCGTCATCGTAGTTACAGAATCCCACTCCCTCTTCACTGCTACCGCTCTCTTGAGCTTTGTCATATTACTAATTAGCTCAACATAAGATCCTAACTTCCTCCTTACAATATACTTTTTCCTCTTCGTGTCTAAATACTTCATAAAAGGTACTACGTTATACTGCAAGAAGTCAAGGAAGACAATCTCCAACGCTTTTGAGCCTTCCTCCGAAGTATTCGGCGCAACCTTGAATCTTACTTCCTCCTCCGGTGGTGACGGCTTTGGAATCTCCGTGATGTCTCATACCGTCCCACCAACCTCTGCAACAATCCGCTCCAAAATTGCCTCACTCAACGTGA